CCAGCCCCGCCCAGGGCCTCGGTGAGCGGCGGCGGGGGCGGCCGGCGGGGCGCCGCTTCCTGAAGTTACGCCGAGGGGGTAGAGGAGACCGGCAAGCGAGAGGCGGCCGCGCTGGGGCACCCCCGGGAACTTTCGCTCCCTTTTGATTGTTTGTTTGTTTTCCTTAATTATTTGTTTGTTTATTCATTTCTCAGTCAGGCAGCAGGCAGCTGCGCAGGGTTGGTGGTGCGGCAGGCAGGTGGAGGTGCGTGTCCCGCCCTGTCACACCCCCCCCCGCTCCCCCGGGCCCGGCCGGAGCGGGCGGCGGGAGGCAGCGCTGGCGGCTGGGACGGGACCCGCACCAGGAGCACACCCCGGGCACCCGGGCCTCCTTCCCATGTTTAATTCACCGGGTATTTCAGTTTCTGGATTTGTACAAAGGGAGGGAGAATAAAAACCCCACCACCCCATCCTACCCCATAGGAAGATCCTCATATCTGTATTTCTGAATATGAGTGCCTAAAACCGGGTCTCTAAATCCACACGTCAGAGAAAAAATGCTGTCTTGATTCCCAAGGCCTCTTAGTGTCCATGAATCCCGTTGCAGCAATGGGTAGTGCAGCTACAAGATCCTGCAGCACAGAATGTCTTAGCTCCTTTTGAGATGCCTAGGCAGGTGTTCAGAGGAGCTATATATGGAAGCAATTGCTTTGTAAAGCAAGAATAAAGAATATTTTGAAAAAAATATTAATTTAATTATTATTTTCAAACAAGTTGTTCAACGAGCAAAGCCAACACAGAAATAAATATTCAGGATTTTTCAGAGTGAGTAAAAATCCCTTTTAGAGTGATTTTTCCAGATTACAGCAGGCCTACAATAATGCAATATTTCCCATATTTAGCTGTATTACCAAAGTTCAGTACTGAAACAAACCTTTATTCCAAAAGAGGTTTAACAGCAAGAGCTTCAGGAAATGTTTATAAATACTGACAGTTAGTCATTAGTATTTTGCCTTAGGTCCATGGGGGGGCAGAAAAGGAGAAAAGTTCCGTTTTTAGAATTTGGGGCTTGGACTAGACGACCTTTAAAGGTCCCTTCCAACCCAAACTATTATATGATTCTATGTGTCACAATACTGTCCTGTTTTAGAATTAACTCAGTCATAAGGAAAGTAGCACTGACATTACAAGGTTAGCTTTTTGGGATAATGGGTGAGAATTCAGATTTTTCTTCTGCTCCGATTCTCGGTTCAGTAGTAAGGTGCTTCCCAACCAGACTGCCAGAAAAATGAGCGAGACATCATATACAAAGGCCCCTCAAATTAAGATGAATCATTTGGGCCCCATGCATTATCAATACCACTGCTTGGCTGCAGCCTCTGAAAACAACTTTTCGTGTTAATTTGGACAGCAAAAGTAAACTGACATTCCTTCCTTCAGGTCTGCTGTTGCCCGATACAGATTTGGGCTTCTTCTGACAGCCCTAGTAACACGTGTATGTATATGTTTATGTTTATATGTGTGTGTGCACTCTTCATATACTTATATGCTCTTGTACATCTCTGTGTACACCTGCATATACGTCATATGGGCACGCTGCACATTATGCATCCTTACTTGCCATTAATGAAGCCAGATTAGAGTTCTTCAAGGAGTTTAGAAGGTCTGGTTTACCACTTCTTTTGCTTTTACATGTCATGTCAGACTGTAGCTGAATACCAAAAGGAGGCAGTGAAAGATGTGATAGGAGCATAGACAAAATCTTTTTTGTGTTTCCCCTCACATGCAAAGCACAGCTTTGCCTCCTGGTAACCTTGAGCTCCACAAGCCATAGGAAACTGTTAAGTAACAAAACAGCTAAAAGGGGTGGCATCTTCTCTAAAGTGTCCCTTCACCAACTTTTAACTGGCTACAGAATTTCCAGGGCAACAACTTTGATGAAACACTGCTCGTTTATCTACACACAAATTAAATTTTTATAACCTTGTGTATTACCATGAATTCCAAATTAAATCTTAACCACTGTGCTTTAATCTTTCAGATGTATGCAAACATGGTAAAGGTAATGGAGGAAAGCAAAAATATTAAATATAAAAAAGGTAGAGTCCTATTTATAGACCCTTTTTTTTTTCCCTGAAATTTAAAGGCACTTAGTATTGCAAACAATGCAGCAATAAATTTTGTAAAGGATAATTGCACTAGGAAAAACAAAGAAGGGGAACCACAGTTCAAAAACCTTCATAGTCAGATTTCTAGAGAGTATGTTTTTGTAAATGCAAGGCAGTCCATATATCGCTGTTCTTAAAACAAGCCAGAATTTGTTCTGTCCTGGAAACAAAAAAAAATACCTGCTCTATTTTCATTGTCATTTTCTTAAATAAAGGGAACATCTTTCTATTAAAAACAAACAAACAAGGAAATATAGCCTATTTCCGAGGCATAGATTTACATGTAATAGGCTGATCTTTTTTTCTTTGGGTAGTTTCATATACATAGTTTATCTTCAATGTGTGATTGTGTTAATTATAATAAAACTGTGACTTCCTGCAAAAAAGAAAAGGCATTCCTTTTTTTTTTTTAAAAATTAAAATTCCCCATTAATACAGTGTTTTGTTTTAGTCCTTTGAGCTATCATTCACAACTATGTATGATTTACTATGATGAAAGTAAACATTTTAATTAAGACACTGAAAAAGAACAGATTTGCAATGAATTGAAAGCACATTTTCCGTCACATACTCAATAGGAATCACTGATTTTAAAATTAGTGTGGTATTTGGACCAAGACACCTACATTTGGATTTTTCAGAAGAGTAGCACTTGTGCATACTGACCTAAACTATAACATGTATACTAAGAAAAAATATAATGTAACATTGATCCCTTAAAATCTGGCCAATAGCTTTTTTAGTGAATGAATACACTGGTGATTGGGCAGTCTAACCAGAAATTAACCTTTTAATAGTGTATCTCTTATTCAGGGTTATAAATTACACTTTCCCGTAAAATTGAAAGTTAAATCCAATTTGCTATACATGGTATTCTTGTTTCTGCAGAATTATACACATAATTTTTTTCTTTACTACCATCTTTAACAAACCTAATGACAGGTTGACACTAGATCACTACTGACATTTTTCCTCCTTCCTGCCATAGTCCCCAAATGTATTTATTGTACGTGCAGCAATTCACATGAAGTTTTAAAAAGTATTTGCAGATTTTGTCGTTTTTCCGTGTTCATAAGATACACATAATCCCAACATCAAGGGAAAAATATAGAAGGTTCATAAAGTTTCAGGCTTATTACCTTTTCTATTATTGATGCAGAAAAAGGCACTGAAAAAATCCCAGATGATAATCAAAAAGAAAAGTGTAAATTCAAAGAAATCTGTTAGAAAGATAAGCATACTGGAACTAGGCTGAATAAGTATTTGAATTCTGGCATAAAAATATTATTTGAATTACAGAACAAACATCAACAATTTAGTCATTAATTTACTATGCTGCAGAATATTTTGTTATAGGCAATGATTCCTACACTTACAGGATCCAGGAAAGTCATTTGCCAAGTCTTGCCTGTTAATTATGTGAGTTATGTTACTAGATTACATTTTTCTTCTCAGTAGACTTGTATATAGTGTGGACATATTCTTAGCACCCTAATTCTAACGCTTTGCACCATGTAAGAAGGTGCAATTTAATTAAATGACAATGAACCAATTATACTGAACAATGTTTTAGGGAAATTACTGACAAAATGTGCAGTATAGTAGTTTCATCCCCATCTTGTTACATGCACAAGCTTTGAATTGCCTCAAATTATTTTTGCACTAAAACTACTGAATCACGATTATAAGATTATGCGATGTACAAGATAGTAAAAAGTTACACAT